TGCAGTGTACATGACAATAAGCTTCTTGAATAATTTGACCTTCTGAAACGGAGTAATATCTTCTCCACTTTGATGGGCTGTGTCTTCTGACTTTAGCTGTTTTAAGAGGTTACCAGAACATTAGTTAAGGTTAAATGTTTTAATTGCTGCAGTAATTATCTGATAGAAGGCTCTTTATTTGCTTAGCTAGCAGATGTGTGGTACATTTCTTTGTTGGCATTTCCTAACATCATGTAACATAATATGAAACTAACTGATAAACTTGAAAACATTATTAAGTTTTTGTTTTGGGTGATAGATGTAGTGTATATGGAAAAAAGCAGATTTACAACTTTAGATCTGTTACTTTGATTACATTAATACAGATTATCTGGTCCAGAATGAACCACTTTCACTCCAGTTAAGCACAGTATTGCTTGCAGACATGGATGGAAATGTATTAATGATAAATTGTGTCAAATAAAGTATTTAACTGAGAAGGAAACTAACCAAACCTGTATGTTCGTATATCTGTTTCAAGTCCCTCATCAGTGTTCTCTGGTGTTTAACACAATCATGGAAAAACTGCTTTTTGGCTGCTTTGCTCTAATGGGTTGCTCAGTAAATTGCTTTTATTCACTGTGAACAGTTATGTGGCAGGAGCTTCAAATGCCTCTTTTTGTATGTAGGTGTTTGTGCCGTAGAGCCTCACTGGCCTTGGATGGACTGCGGTAATTCTCCATTATTTAACTGTGTCTTTTTTGTTCAGCATCTGCAGAGTGAGAGTCACAGGGCTTTCTCTAAGAGTGATGAGTACTTGCTGGTGGACAGATTGATTTCAACCTTGAACCACAACTTCATGCACGTTAAAGGAGCTAAACTCAAAAGGTAATTTTTTTTGGGGGGGGGGTTTAGCAAAATTTGTCAAAAAACAAAACCTCATTTAAATCTCTTGTAAATTGTTTTTCCTTAATATTTTTATCCCACGTAGCTAATTAAAGGGTTTGTTTTGTTTTTTCTTTGATTCCCATTAGACCAAAGTGCAGTGTTTCCTGTGTTCTGATTGCTCCTGGACCATGTAGAAAACCTGAACTAAGGTACAAGGGAGATCCTTCAGAGACTGTTCAAGAAGAGGAGCCATGGACAGTTGATGTGAACGAAGAATTAAATTCCAGACAGGATATAAAAATCGCGTCCGTGCCTGCCTCTGCTGAATTGATTGACAGAGAGGGCGACCAGAGGAGCTGCTACACTTACTCAGACAGATCCAGGCACAAGTTGCTTGAACGTAAACGGGTGTGCAGACAGAATTCACACACTGCCCGCACCCAAAAATCTAATCAGCCTCAAAGTCCTCAGTTTGAGTCAGAAGAAGCCCCATCAAGAGGTGAATTTCTTCCCTCTTTGCCCACCAGAGATTGCCAGGATGATCTGCTGGACCAGATGCCTCATGAGGACATAAACAGCTCAACTTTGTGCGTTGATAATATGAACATACAGAATAATTTGGCCTCAAAAAGCCTCAGTTTTTTTGAAAATGAACAAGAGTCTGATAAGAAAGTGACTGGAAAAAATGACTCTGGAAAGAAAGAAGGATGCCTTCCTACAGAAAGCTGCTCTCCAGTCCAGAAAATTCAGAGGAGGATAAAAGTTTACAAGCACAAAAGACGAAAATTGGACACAAACGTCGAACATGTAGAGCCTGGCGATGTTTCTGATAACTCTTTATTGAAGCTCTGGAAGCTTTTTCAGTCCAGTGATGACATGGATGTGGAGTTTCACGGCTTTGAGGACTACAAATAGACAAGCTAAAGGGATTAGCTTGAATTCCTGTGTCCTGGACTACACAAGCTGTTAGATTTAAGATGTTAATAGAAGGTCCTGGCTTTTGTGTTTGATAAGAAATGCATCAGCTCTCCTCCTTCAATCAGATGATGGTGATTTTTAACATTTTGTTTACAGAGTAGTATATATTGTAAAACTTAGAGTGGCCCTAGTAATATTGTTATTGTTTTTTCTAACCATATAGCCCTAATCCCCCCCTCCCCCATAGAGCCTCTCTCTATGAAATCATATGGAGCTAAGAATGGGAAAAACAGTCTGAAGCCTAAACTTTTTGCTCATTGACATTATGTTCATATACAGTGACATCTTTATATGAAGCTTTGGCCGTCCTAAAACAAACTAAATAAGGGAAAACACAAAAGGGTCCCTTTTTAAAAGGGACAGCAACTGCAAGTCAGTATTTTACATACTTGAACCTGTAAAAAGTACATGAAATCAGTCAAACCATTTCTTTAACCAGAGTAATCTGCTGAGTACATGAAATGTAGTGCCAGCTTAATGTTAGCTCTAAGTCCCTTTTGCTCAGTCTACATCTAACTTGACTTGAAGACAGTGCGTGGTTGTGTGGCTCTCCTGCTTCTCCTGTGAACGGGCATGTGTTTAATAAAGGAAGTGAGCAACTCTCTTGAAATGGTCGTCTTCTGTGAAAGAATATTGTGAATACATTTCAGTATTTTGACACTGATGGGGTACGGTAATGTCAGAGCAGCTATGTTTTGTTTTATTGCCATTTTGGGGAAAAAAACCTATGAAAAATTGGTGCAAGAATTTTTATTTTAAATGATTTTCTTTCCATGAATGCTGACTGTAGAATTTAAAGAGCATCTTATGGATAAAAGGCAGCTTCAGTCATGACAATTATCTTTAATCCTTTCAGACACGAGGATGTGGATGTGTAATTCAAATAAATGCCTGTTGTACTGTGAGCGTCTCTTTCTGTGTGTTGTAATGTGAATGACCTGCAGGTTGTCTGCATGGTATTTGGCGTTATGTGTGACATTTTAAAAATTCTTCCTAAGTGCACTTTTTATGACCCCGCCATGCTTTTTTTCTTTTCTTTTTTCTTTCTTCCTCCCTCTCCTCCTGATGCATTAGCTCAGCGTCTTCCTTTTCCCTGCATTTAGTGCATTAGCATAGTGCCCTTGTTCTCCCTCACCACTCTCAAATGGATGTGCTGGGTCAAATGGGAGTCTGTGCCACTGGCATTAAGAAAATGAGCATCGATGTGTTCTGAGGTACAAGCACAGTGATACTGGCGACTGCTGAATCCTGACATGGCCATCTTTCATGCTGGTTGCATCCTGTTAGCACTGTGTTTTATCATCATACTTAACAAACCATCATTTCTGACTAATATGGCTTACATGCATACCTGTATAAATATTGGCTAATAATGGAATACAGCATATATTATACATAAGGAAATTTAAAGAGTTTCACAAATGTATAGTTTGTCCATTAGAGGGCAGTAAAAATGTGATTTTTCAAGTGTGTAAGGCCCTACTGAGCACATATTGAATATTTCTTGCTGCTGTTTACTAAATTTAAAAATTAGGACTTTTTCTGCTTTTACTGGACTGGTGCCATGTTTGGGATAATTGTCATGCTAAAAAATAAGCTGTTGTCAATCAGATGCTTTCCAGATGGTACTGCATGGTGGATCAAAATGTGATGGTACTTTTCTGTTTTCAAAGATTCATCAAATATGATAAAATCCCCCAAACCACACTCTGAAATTCGGCCCCACACCATGACTGAGCCTCCACCGTGTTTCACAGATGGCTGTAGGCACTCACTGTCGTACTTTTCTCCTGACCTCTTCTGAACAGCCAGAAATTTTGACTTTGAATTCATGACTACACAACATCTGTTACCACTGATTTTCAGTCCAGGTCTTGTGTAATTTGTCATGCCTCAGCCTTTTTCACCTGTTTTCCTTCCTTGAGAATGGCTTCTTGACTGACAGCCACCCTTCCACTGAGGCCATTTCTAATGAGGCTTCAGATAACAGCAGATCAACTATAGGTACAGATCCATCTGTCAGGTCTTAGAAAGAAATAATTCAAAGAGTATCTGAAACCCATGTTCTTAAGAAATAGAAAGAAATAATTCAATTTCTTAAGAACATGGGTTTCAGATACTGTTCACTTGTTGTAGATTTAGCTTTCTGGGTTTTTATTTTTTAGGCCTGGTACTTTTATATCTACTTGTTACTATATTACCAAGGCAGCCAATAGCCTTTTGGCAGTCATGTTGTTGGTGCAAAAATATAATTTTATTCCTGTCAAACTATTACCTTTGATATTTTTCATAGATTCGACTAAGCAAATGGAAACAAGTGTATCTTTGGCAGTAGTCTACAGGTATGTAAGTGAGAGGATAACTGAGAGGATCAGTTTGTCACTGATCCTGGCTCATGCAGTGGAGTTATCAAGTGTAGGTAAATATTTATAGGTTGTTTTGAATGAGCACAAATAAATGTGGAAGCGAGTGTGTTCCTATGCCCACTGTACATTAACCGACTTTGGGATCTCCAAATTTACCCGATCAACTCATCTCTGAAGGAAGATGAAGAAGCAACATCAACAAATAAGAAAATATCATTTGACTAGAGAGACAAAATGGTCATATACTCTAAATTGCACAATTTTATCTAATTGTCTTGTTTTTTTTCCTGGGTAGGGGTGGAGGATGCCTTTTTTGGAGGCCTGGCAGATGATGGAGTGAGTCATTATGATAACAACAGGCAAGACTGGGCAGGAATGGCGCTTCTGCAGCGATTTAACATGGAGGAGCTTTTATGTCGTCCCAGATAGGTCCAGTCGGCGGAAGGCCGAGCCCACATTTTCTCCTCATCCAACCTCCGCTCATATTTATGCATTAGGCGTCTCTGCAGTGAGCCACCGAACACTGATGTGTTTTAAGGAGGTGTCCCTAGATCTCCCTCCCATCCTCCCGCCCTCTCTGTTTCTCTCTCTCTCTCGCCTCCAGCATTCTCCGCGCTGCTGATCCGCGGGGTTTCGGTGCGCTCAAACGCGCTCGGCGTTCAGACTCCTAAGCACCCCCGATGGCCCCCCATCAGCGACACTGCACTAACCAGACGACCAGCCCCGGCTTGAAGCTCCCTTAGCGAAGGCAGGACCCCGAGAGTCCTCTCCTGGAATACCGCATTGTTTATAATTTCCAGCCACACAGAAAGAGAGAGAGACGGAGGAGATGGTGCTGATGATGCGCCCGCGATGGTGGATTTCCCTTTTGTGCGTCTGTGAATTGATGCACGTCGGTCACCAGAGCAGCCCTAACGCCGGAGATGGTAACTGATGCTATTTTGGATGATGCATGAATTGTTATTGCGCAGCCAAAGCGTTAAATCACTATCAAAGGGCCTGTGTTTATTTGTTAATCAACGCCTCGTCTGCTTCATGCTTCCTGCATTTAAAAACATGCACGCAACCCACAGCTGTTCCACTGTGTGAAAAGGAAATGAAAACCATCGACATTTTAATCATAACTGTTTGTGATCCGCGCGTTTGTATCACTGCTGATCTCCGCGCGGAGGAACGGGGCGCGTAATGAAGTCGGTGTTGTCCCCTATTCTCTCTATCTCTCTCTCTGTGCAGGAGACGCCTTGTCGAGCTTGAAGGCTCTTCGTGATGCGGGTAGGTTTGTCGGGAAGGAGGACACTGTGCCTCTCCGCCTGCTCTACAGCAGGCACAACCACAGCCAGATCACACAGGACGAGCTCAGCACCAGGATTAAAGCCAGCGCCAGCTCCGACTCCACGCAGGTACACAAGGTGCTTTCGTGTTGTGAGGGTGGAGTGTGCGATTGTGGAAAGATGCCTCTGTGTTTACAGTTGTCTATTTTATCCATTCAACCCCTCCCTACGTGTCCTCACGGTTGGGGGGGGGGATCATTATTTAGCAAGCAGGGATACAAAAAATGGACGCTGACAACATTTTGACACGAGCAGGTCACACTAATTACACAGCCTGGAGGTGCTATATGGGTCATAAGCAAAAGAAGAAAAAGTCCCACCGCAACCTACACCCATAAAATTCTTTAAAATACTAAGATTAGTGATAGGACCTCTGAGTTCATTTATCCCCACTCAAAATGATCGACTATATGTCACCTGGTCAAACCGGATAATTAATATTTTAGCTTGCATCTCGTCCGTCCAGCTGGGTTGTTGTCTCAGCAGCTGTCTCACCTACCACCTCAAAAACGCTGCCTAATGTCCCACTAGGCAGCATTTTTCACCTTACACATGAAAACGAATGACCAGAAGCTTTCTTATTGAGCCTATGATCAGCAAACTTTGGCTTGTCACATGTATACCAGCGTCAGCATGTACTGCGAGCTGGGCGATCACTGTTGACTTAGTCTTAGAAGCGCTCTGGCCTGTCTTTTGGGTCATTTAGAAATAGGGTTGGGTTGTTTCTTTTGTCCACTAGAGGGCATTAAACTCTATTGTCAGCAAATAAAACGGGCGGTTCAGTATTTTGTATAATAATACTGTGATAATAACTACTTTAAGGACTCATTATTTTTTTTAAATGGAGCTGTTGTTTATTCATAGTTATGAAAAATTGATATATGTTGCTGATGTTAGCTGATCTTTTGGGTATGGCGCGGTGAATATTTTAATATTTACTCTACAGTTCTGAAAAAGGACTGGTCTCTAAAATGGCAAATTACTTAAAAAAAGACATAAATATTTAAATGCCTCTGCAGATATGTATATGATTGCATATACTATGTACTATGTAATATGATTGCCTGCAGCAGCCCCTGTTTTTGGATGTTAGCGCCAAGAACCAAGAAATACACTGTAGACTTACAGGTAATAAAGAGTATGGTTGGATTACACTTCGGACATGATCACCCACAAAATTATTAATGTTTGAAAATTATTCAGAGAGCTGTTATTGAAAACTACCAGCTGCGGAAAAGCCTGGAGGCATTTGGCTTTGCCTGCCTACCATGACTAGTACAGTGCGGTAATAGTGTAGCTGTGTTCACTGAGTCAGTTCAGTCTGCTGGGTTCCTTTCAAGGAATGAGTCAGTTAGCATTGTACAAACATGTTAAGTGTTTTTAATTTGTATGGCTTAGGCTTGAGTAAGGCTAGCCTACTCAGGGCTCAGCGAGCGGAGAGGGCTACAGATGGCATCAGGCAGGGAGGTGTTAACCCTTTGTCTCTCTCACACCTCAGCCTGAGCTGCAGCCCATTGGGTAAACAAGCTAAGTTGAACCATCTGCCGTCAGATATCATTTTAATGTTTTCCTTTTGAAGCTCATTCTAGTCTCACGGCAGGTTTGTGGCACAGGCTTGCTGTGAACTGAATTTCAGAGGTAGCGTTTCTGCAGAGCAGCACAACAGTTTTCTACGAGAGATTTTGCTCAAAATATGTCATATTTTGATCTAAACCCTCATTATTTCCTGAGTCACTCTCATTCTCTGGAGTTTACAGCCCAGGAGATGCGTTTATTTTACTCTGATATCATATTGTGCCAACTCATAGTCATAAAAGAGCTTGCGTACAGGCAGCAAGTTAAAACATCAAAGTCATAAAATGTACATTGCAAATGCAGATGATCGAGGATGGGAGGGTGAGGAGATTTGATTTGTGCTCCGAGTCTTTTAATCTCCAGAGAGCTGATGCTCGTGATGTCACTTGCGCAATGTTTGATCAGTTATTGGCTGTTTTTAGATCAACAGCCTAAAAACAAATCTGTCAGATAGTTCTGAAAATGTGCGACACACATGGAGTTATTTATAGGCTTCTTTCGCATCACCTATTTTTAAGTCGCAGACACAAACAGCACTGAATGAGCTGCGGGGAGTTCAGCAAGGTGCTCTTGTTGTTTTGGTGAAAAAACAAACACTTCCAGTGAAATCAGTCTAACTGTGTTGGTTTGCATTTCCTGCCTGCCTCTCTGCAGAGCAATGATAGGCTTACAGTCATTCTTGAACAATCACGAGTGGAAAATCAGGCTCGCCATGACTCAGAAATCAATGCGAGAGGAGTCACCAGTGGTCTCCTCATATTGGTCCTGCTAAGTCAGGATGGGATGTGCTTTCATTAACCACAATTACTGGTACCTCCTACCCTCGTGGATACAATCTGCCAGATTAGATTTCATCAAAGTGTGGAATTGCCATTTGCACATGCTCTTGCACACACCCACACAACCTCTTAACTGCTCATATATGCATTGACCGGCACAGGCACGCTCCTGCAGACAATAGAGTCTGTGATCACTGGGGACATCAGGCTATCCTTGGGTGAGCACAGGGGCACTTCCTGAAATGACAGCCTACACACACACACACACACACACACACACACACACACACACACACACACACACACACTTTCTCCTTTGTTGTCATGTAGTGTCCAGTCTGTAAAGCAGGTAGCCCAAGCCTCAGGGAGACGGTAAGCCATGCTTAAGGTCTCCACTGGGGCTTTACTGGACCTAAAGGAATTACTGTGGGGAGTTATTATTGACCCAGGGGGCACACCCCATACAATATGTGTCCAAGACTTGGAATGAATCAGACCCTCCTCCAGCCACATCAATCAAACAGAGTTCATGCACTTAGAGATGAAGCAGTGATTGGTGAAGAAAATTAAATGAGTCGGCGTAGGGTTAGATTTTTTTTTTCTTTTTGATGGTGAACTTAATTCACTTCAATTCAATTTTATTGTTCAGCTGTATTTATATAGCATGAAATCACAGCAACATTTGTCTTAAGGTGCTTTATATTGTAAGGTAAAGACCCTTCAATAATAGAACCTCCCCCCAAATAAACAATTGATCCCAGTGAACAACCACTTGGTGACAGAGGGAAGGAAAAACTCAATTTTAGCAGGAAGAAACCTCCGGCAGAACCATGCACAGGGAGGTGCAGGCATTTGCTGTGACCAGTTAGGGTTATGTGTGTGTGCAGACTTGGCTTATTTCATTCCTGCAGCTAATCGGTGCTATAAACACACAATGCAGCCGTCCATCAGTGTAGATGAGACTTATCCATGTCTATGATACTGAACTTCACCATGCATGTGATAACGGGGACTTTAGAAACAGCGTGCAGCTTCTCTTCTCTGTCTTTTTTAGGTGAACCATGTGGCCCAAGCGAGCTTTCAAGTTGACGCTTTTGGTCGGAAGTTCATTTTGGATGTGGAACTGAATCAGTGAGTATTTCATTATTAAATCTGTCTGTCTTTGTTTGTCTGTGTGTCTGTGCTTCTATGTCACTGTGCCTGTCTGGGTTTCTACTGGGCGCTCCGCTCACAGTCCAAAGACAGGTTTAGGTTAATTAGCGATTCTTAATTGGGTGCGGATGTTCTCTCTTTGTTGGTCCAGTTCCAGCACATCCCTAAGTTGGAGAGGCAAAAAAACAAACAAAACTGGACACATGGATGCATCTTGTGAAAGCAAAGGTTGCCTCATTTTCCAGGAAAAGACTGTAGTGTGAGCTTGCTTGTTGAAATAACTGCTTCAGGTGTCAAACTTGTGTTTCTCAGTGCCTCTTGTTCTTGTTTAGCATGAATCCCCCCGAGTGCATGTTGCACATTAAACTAGTGATGACTTCAGTGTTAAATTGAAGTAGGTCACTGTGGTGCTGCAGTGCTGTTTATTACCTGTTTTAGGGAATGCACATAACTGTACCACAGCAGCTGCTCTGTGGATAAATGCATACAGTGTGTGTGTGTTAGCGTGTTTGGAACCGGTGTGTGTGATATAGAGGTTCCATCATAATAGGAAGTGATTTACAGTAAAGGCTCGAGCACAGCCCTGTCAGACACTAATATTGATCACAGCTGTGCTGATGGAAAGTAAGCTCCTCTCTCTCTCAGCTCTTCTTCTGTTTCCACAGCTTTCACATTTTAGTGTCATCCTCTCTAAACCTTTCCCTGTTCTTGTTTTGCTTTGGCTCCAGTCTGCCACTTTTACAGTCCATGTTTGTCTCATTTATCCCAAAAGCTTGTGAACTTGGCATGTGCATACAGTGAAGCTGCCTACTCATCACAGCGGAAGTCACTCTCTTGCTGAGTAAAATGTTACATCAGAGGAATTCCCAGGTTTAGAGGATAGCCTGCAACTCCCTGAGTGACATGTTAGCCTGTTATGGGTGCATGCATACATCTACACATGTATGTTTGTACTGTTTAATGCAGACTGCTATCCTTCTCTATACAGGCAGTGTTATAAAGGTAACGAAATAAGTGAAAAGAGAAAAACGCAATAATGACACGAACAGGCAGTTTGCAGTTTGAAGGAACAACAGTGACAAACAGGAAGTAAACATGACACAGTTGGACTCATGTGCATCAAGAGTGATTTCAGCAGGAGTGGAGAGAGATACGAAAGGTGTCAGATCCTCCGGTTTAGCGCTAAAGGACTCAGCATCCAGCCTTCTTATGATTAGATTAACATGGAGTACTATAAAAAAGTACGCATATGGATAAATGAATATAAAAGAGGGGTGTTTAGGAAGGTTCAGGGCCTCTAGGGCTGAGAGCAACATTGGAAGAAGGGAGTTCACATTATTAGCAGGATAAATTATTTGGATGCAGCCAGTTAGAGGTAGGCGAGTCTCCTCACCCTCACCTTCAATCAGGTTCTGCATTGCCTGTTGGGGTATGCCCCTTAGAATCTGAACCTCTGAGAGCCGATCCAGACTTCCTGTACGGAGATAACTGGCTGATCCACACGAAGAGCCGTACAGCTGTGTGCAGCTGTTCCAGATCTGTTACACCCAATAATAGTAAGAGACTGAGATCAGTACGATCGTGCATCACGCTTTCTTTTTTTATCCTTCGACAGAAATGAAATGATTTTTTAGGGAACATATTAGAATGTATTAAAAATATAAATTAACTGATAATCGGTTAATTCCTTTAATCACGTTCGGAATAAAAACATTTAACATTTCCTATTTGAATTTCCTGCTTTGTGAAGGTGAACTTTTGCAAACTCTTAACTGCAAATTTTTTTAATTCATGATGATTTTTTATGATAACGTTATTTTAAAAAGAACAGTGAGGACACTTAATCGATAATTGATTTGTAAAAATTTTAAATTCTTGTTGACGATTAAGAATTTTATTTCAATTGAATATCTTTGAGTTTTTAAGCTGTTGGTGGAACAAGAAATAAGTTGTTGCTATGCATGTTTGCATCTTTGTCCCAGTGCCAGCTGTCTTCATTCATGAAGGAAGAGCTTCAGTTTCCCTCCGTCTCACCTGAGACCTCCTCTTCCAACTCTCGTCTCCCTCCTGTCTACTGTCACTCCTCTGTGAACTGATCCCCTGCATGACAGCCACACTGATTTTGTTTACAGATAGCTTTCATCCCAGACAGAATAAACCCAGTTGATATGTGAGTGGGTGCAGGAGTGGGAGCTTTTTTAGCTGAATGAGCCAACACTGTTGGCTCCCTGTAACAAAGCCTCGTTCTCTCAGTTTGATCAATGAGTGCTGTGCATTTTTCTGTGTTTAGCTGTTGCCATGAGCAATCAAGAGTGGTGGGATTTTTTTTTCCCCCCCAGTTTTCACTGTCGACTGTGTCTCAAGTGCTACATTACATGTTATTATCATCGTTTTTCTTTCTGTGCCTGGAGTTAATGCTTTGCTGATAGACTGTGAATAATAGAGGAGCGTGGGTGTTTTGTTATAAAATCATATGCCTTATGCTTTTTAGACACATGTTGGATACTATATGTATTTTTTTTAGTCTAGTCCTCTTAATGTCAGATGGAAAAAAGCATGATTGGAGATGCCATGTGAGATGAGTTGCTCTGTAGGTCACTGTGTCGCTTTTATCTTTAGTTTAATGTCCCGACAAATTCTAGATTCATGACATTTGTGATCCTCTCCCTTGCTTTTGGTGATCCCCTGACTTTCTGCCTACATCCATCACATCACTGATAAATACCAGTTGATGTTTTCACCTCAGTTTTATTACACACACATTATACACTGATCAACCACAACAATAATAACCTTCATCTTGTTACAATACGATGTTCTTTTGGGTCACACCAATCATCTAAACATGATCAAGTGCTCACCCCACCTCATAGCAGTGATGCTCACTGATGGTAGCAGTCTCAGCCAGCACCTCTGAGAGTGCAAGATGCAGAGCAGGCTTCAAACTCTCAACATCCCAGGCGAGATGTCCATTTGTGGAATCGGCCGAAACAAAGACTGATCCACAGAGACTCCTCCTGGCAACCCTCCAGACCCAAAACGCAACCCACATCCCGGTGTTACACCCTACAGCAGACCCGTGTCCGTCCTCTGGTGGGCTGTATTTTTTTGTTTGTTTTGTTTTTAATGATAGAGACCAACACTATATAAAGTGAGCGATGTTGTTGTGGCTGAGTGGTATGTTTTCAGATCTATCCTGTCGTGCATTGATCGTGTTCGTAATCACGACCGGGATCCCATCGTGCACTCTGCAAAAAGGCTTGAAAATGTGTTTCGTGTCACAGAACCTGGATCTAGACATTTTGTTTAGAGAAGAAATGCCCCTCTCTTCTGTGCTCACACGAACTAAATACATAATTGTGTGTGCTTTAGTCTTTGATGCTTTCATCAGTGACATGCCGTATTGACACGAGCCACCCATCTGAACTGTGGCAGTGTATAGAGAGGAAGTCAGGAGGGGGGTTGGTGGGTCATGAGGTCTTTATACCCTTTCTCTGTCTTTGTCTTCCTCCAGTCCTGCATCTCAGCAACTGCCTGCAATTTTCCATTCATAGGACAAGAGTAAGCTGAAAATGTGAAAAGGGTTGGGGGTTGTCTCTCTTTTTTCAATCATCCTCATTTCCAACACACACACACACACACACACACACACACACACACACACACACACACACACACACACACACACACAAATCGTCACCCTTGATTGCCCCACACCCACTCTCCACACAGCCCTACCCCTGCTACCTCTTACCCCACCCCTCCCACCTGCTCTTGCTGAATAATAGATGTCGCTATAACATTAAAAGGGGAGTGTGCACAAGACGGCTTCTTTCGCCGTCCATCACGTGAAGAAGGGAAAACATTTAAGCGATATATGTTTACACTTCTACGCATGACCCCGACACATACACCGACTTTGTTTTAGTCCAGCAGCTACAGTATAAAGTTTGATGTTTGGTTATTTTGTGTCATTCATATTTGCCCATTTTTATGACAACTATAAATCTAACATTATTCATGGACATGTATCACAAGTTGGCAAATGTATGCAACAAAATAAACTCTTTAGAGATTAAATCCCCCCCCCAATAAATTTATTTATTGATGAATAAGTTGGCAGAATTAAAATATGACACTACGTTAGCATGTTAGTGTGTGTGTCTGACGCATCGCGGAAAATGTGGTCCAGGAAACAAACCTGCAGTACTGCAGTTTCTCCACTAAGGTGGTTTTCAGCACATTAGCAGATGTTTATGTGTGTGTCTGTGGAAACATTTTGCCAGCAAGGGGGTTACACACCTGCAAGAAAAGTCTTATTACACAGTGTTGCAGGTATGGAGGTGAAAAAAAAATAAATCAGGGGTGGGTAATTGATTTTCCCAGGGGTCTACATGAGGCCCTGGGACTGTTGTGGAGGGCCACACCAAGAAGCTGAACTCAGTTCTGCTTGATATTAGTTTGATCACTTTATAAACTTGTTGGTGACGCTCTCCACAACAGTACCAGTTTCTCATATGGCCCCTTTGGGAAAATGAATTGCCCACCCTCAGGATTGTTTTTACTAACTTTAAGCACTCGGGTTAGGCAAAATCTGGTTCTGGCTTTGGAAATGTAAAGAAAAACAATATGCAGATGGAGAAGATGTAATTTGGAAATGATAAACCTACTTATGCAGCGCTTTTCTACTCTATCTGAGTGCTGCTTCAGACGGCGTATCTTATTCCGCCGTTTACACAAATTCAAACAAGCACTTTTTTAATGTTTAAGTGCTTTCTACGTAACATTCAGATGCATTTACACTCATGAATGCATCAGGAGCAATCTGGGCTTCAGTATCTTGCCCAAGGAAGCATTTTGGCAGCCAGGGATCAAATGGGGAGGGTTGCGTCAGGATCAACCAGAATGAGATTTCCCAACTAGATCGATCAGGGGCCAGCAGGGTGCAGGTGGAAATTGTTGTAGTGTTGGCTGAAGAT